GGAGGGGGGGGACTATGACTGAGGATCCCTGGGGGTGGGGAGGTGGAATGTGATGGGGGGTTTGCTGGTGTATTTGGGGTTCCTGGGGGGTGGGGCCGAGGCAGGGTGTTGCTCAGGACTGGGGTTGACTTGGTGTCCCTGCCCCTGCTGTGCCTGCCCCACTGTCCAAGCAGGTGTGTCCATTACCTTTGTTAATTAATTTAGACATCAGCTCTACTACAAATAAACCCAGTGCCTTTCAGTTCCTAGTGCGTTGTGCTGATGGTTTGGTTCACCCCAACTTCCTGGGCACGTCTGGCACCTGCCTGCGAGGCACTGGGGACAGGGGGAGTGTGGTGGGGAGAGCGCCCTGTGCTTGGGTGTTGTGATGGGTAGCTGGTGTTGGGGGGAGCCGAGGTTTTTCCGTGCTGTTCCGAGTGCCCGGGGATGCCTGACTTGGCCGTGGGCCTCTCTGCTGGTCCTTGCTGGGTGGCTGGTGGCCTGCGGGAGACTGCAGGCATCGTGGGCCAGGGCAGGGGACTGGCGCCACCTTCCCCTGCTGTGGACAAGCCTCCAGGCTGGGTGACATCAACTCCCATGGAGTGGCCCTGGCCAGACCCAGTCCTTTCCCCACGGCATCTCCCTGCTGTGAGCACCACTCTGGGCTGGGGAGCCACATGTGCCCAGCAGTTGGGCATCTCCACGTTAAGTGAGGCTCTGGGTGCAGCCAGGGAGTCACCACCAACACCCAGCTCTCCTGCCCTGGGGCCAGACCCTGCCCTCTGGCCATCACCTGCAGCCCAGCCCTGGGTGGCACTGATCTTTCCAGCCCAGCAGGGGCTAGGTGGTTGCCCCATGTGAAGAGCACAGTGCTGGTGGGGGCCATGAGAGCATCCAGCGGCTCTTGAATACCAACACCAAACCCAATTCATCCTGGTGCAAGGCAAGGACCTTGGGACACCACAGGTTAGGGGGTGGCAGAGTGGCCCGTGTATCTCACTAGTGGCCAACAAGGAGCATGGATCAGGAGAAAGGGGAGTGTGGGGCTGCAGTGTTCCCATGCCATCTCGTGCCTCCACATCCTGGCCAAAGGCATGGCTACCTGGACACTTCTGTGTTCTGGGTGACTATGAGACACTGGAGGGACAAAAGCCCACTGAAGCCCTCAGCATCACCTACATGCGCTGGGTGCCCAAAACCCAACACGTGGCCCTCTGGGCTCCCCAAGCTGGTGTGTGCTCCCATCCCCCAGCTGGCACAGGAGATGCACTTGAGGTCCCACACAGTGCCCTTGCCTGGGCTGACAGCACATCTGGGCTCAGAGGAGCAGTAGCACCAACTCCATCAGCATCCTGGATGAAGTAACTGGAGCCAACACGGAAGAAGCAGCCCATGCCATCAGCACGGATCAGTGCATCACCAACTCCTTTCTCGAGAGCAGTGTGGGTGCATCCTGCACCCTCAGACCCCACATGTGTCCTCTAGGAAGCACAGGGACACCATCTAGCCTGATGGGACAGATCTACCTGGCAACTGGCTTATCCCCTGTCATCCCTGGTGGCCCCTGGGGTGGTTCCAGCTTCTTATGTGTCTCTGGATGCTGGGGGTGGAAGAGGCTTGCAGTGTCACTGTCCCTAAGGGAACTTGTGGTGTCCCCAGCTGGCACTGTCTGGACACGATGTCAGCAGGTTTGTGGGGCAGCCATTTCCACAAAGATGTGCTCAATCTGCTCTGTCTCCAAGGCTCTCAACCTGCTGGAGGTGGCTCAGCACTGGCAGCTCTGCTCCCAGCCCAACCTGCCACACCACAAGCTCAACAAGTGTTGGTGCCACTGCTTCAGTGCAACCATCAGTGCCTGCTTCTTCAACACCATCATGGCCATAGTCATGCTGCTGGGCTTTACCTTCCAAATGGACATGGGGAAACACAAGGTACTGGCTGGGCAGGGTTAGGGAGGAACAGTTGGGCTGGGCCAGTGCCCTGCCTGCCGTCATTCTGCAGTCACATATGTGATGAGAAGCCTGATCTTTGCAGCTTCCACCTCAGAGCAGAAGAATAATTTACACACTGGGCCCTGGTGCAGCTCAACTCTCCCTCTTGGCCCAGGGAGTCATCCAGCATCTCCATCAGCAAGTACAGGATGGATGAGGCTGCCCACCTGTACATTTATGGCCTCAGGATGAAGAATGAGCAGATGGTGCAGACCATGTCCCACTCCATCACCTCAGCTGAGGGTCAGGGCCAGTGCACACCTGGGGTGGCAAGGACCACAGGCCACCAGTGCTCCCCAGTGCTGAAGCTCAGAGCAGGTCCCTGGTGCCACCCCAGGCCCGGCAGTTGTGTCCCTGGGAGCAGAACCTTGCTGTGACTGCCAGTTTCCCTCTTGCCTGGTCTCCATCGCCCATCCCTGAGGCACCAGGAAGTAGAGGTTGGATTTGGTGATGGCTCTGAAGATGTGCTGGATGCTCTCCTCCTGAGCCCTTGTTCAGCCTGGTCTGCATGACCTCTGACCCCTACAAAACCTGTGGCAAGACCCACGCCATCATTTTCTGCACCGGTACATCTGCACATCAACATCATCAGGGTAAGATGCTCCAGCCATGGCCATAGTAGCAGGAAGGACTCTTGGAGCTAGTCCTTTCAGAGGTCAGCTCTGCCCATTCCCCTCCCCTGTGGAGCTGCTTGTTCCTCATCCTTTGGCTCTGATCTGCCCTGTGGCCTCTACCTCCACCCAGGTGGCCATCAGGCTTTCCCACTGTCAGAGCCCCTTGGCCCCTGCTGTCCTGGACTGCTCTCAGCCCCAGTTCCCACCCCCAGCAGCTCCCCTTGGGTGCTCTTCCAGAAGCTGGACTATAAGTGAAATCTACTGGGCCATGCTGATGACCATAGACTCTTGGTAGCTTGTGCTCCAGGTGGGGACCATCAGCAAGAGAATCAGGTAGCACTGCCCCTTCACCAACACCAGCACATAGCCCAGTTGGACACACAGCTTCCTCCCACGAGGAAGACGAAGCGATGATATTTCTGTAGATACATCTTGAGATATCTGTGAAGATGTGATGTATCTATATGTGGTGGGTGCTGCTGACTGTGGATGCAGATGGCTGGGCTTCTCAGGGAGGGGGATGCCCTCTCTCCAGGTTGCTCACCGAGGCTGGGCTTGTGTCTCTCATTCCAGACTGTCCTAATAAAAAGACTGGCCTGCTTTGGGAGCTGGGGTGATCCCTTCTTCCAGCCCTACTCCTGGGCGATCAGACTCCCATGAGGTCCTGAGCCATACCAAGGCTGCGACACATTCCCAGGGCCAGCACAGCCCCCAAGGCCTTTGGGATACCCCAAATGGTACTGGTAGACCTTTGGGGGGTACAGAATGGTCCATGGAGGTCCCAGAGGAGGGTTTCACAAGAAAATGCACATTGCACTGCAGGGGCTTCAACAAGAAAACTCTGAGACAACAAAGGTCACCAAAAGCCAGGTGCACACAGAGAGATGCTGAGGGTACTGGTGTACATCAGAAGGGACACACAGACCTCTGGGGAACACAAAAAGACACTGGTGGCACCTGAGGCTACACCAAAAGGCTCCTAGAGGATCTCCAAAAGGAGTAAGGATGGTACTTGGGTGCTGTCAAAGGGACTTGGTTGGTGCAGATGTGTGTCAGATGGTAGAGCAGCAGCAGATAGGTGTGCAGGGCCATTCGAGGTGCACCAGATGGACTTGGAAGGCCCATGGGCCACATCCCAAAGCTATGAGAGGCCTTTGGGGCTCTACAAAAGGCATGGGTTCATCTGGTCACAGGCTGCTGGAGGACACCTGAAGGCACTTCAAGAGTCCTCTAGTGCTGCACTGCAAGGCACCTGGGCAGCACAGAAAGACACATGGGGTCCCCTTAAGTGCACCACAAGGCACTCGGGATCACAGTCAGCACAGAAAGGCCCTTGGATGCCACTGGGGGCTAACAGCCAGGCACCTGGGTCCTGTGCAGAGGAGAAGAGACCCGCAGAGCTCTGTACTCACAGGCACTCACCTATACCCTGAAATGCACCTGAAAGACCACAGCGCTCATTAGAAACCACTTCTGGACCACTGTGCACACTGAAAGGCACTTGGAGGCCCCAGAGAAGAGGACTGAGGTGCTACAATGTCCCAAAGGTGGCATTCAAAGACCAGTGTGGGTTCATCAAGAGGTACTCGGAGGAGCCTGGGACACACCAACAGGCAGTCAGAAGGACCTTGGTGCAAAGTTGGGACACAAAGCTCTGGGTGCCAGAGTCTGTTGCTTCCCACAGGAGCAAAAGCTGATTTCAGGGGCCCAGCAGGCTGTGGATGTGAAGCCTGGAGGCTACAGGATGGATCCAAGTCCCACCCTTCTGCCACTGGAGAAGACAGGGTTCCTGGTGTGGGGGGTGAGCACCAAGATGGTACTGGACAGGCAGGGAGCTGAGAATGAGGGAGCAAAAGACAACATGACACAGCCAGTGCTTTCCAGGCTACTTTAATACCAAGTGAACAGAATGCAGCCAGACCTCCTGGTCCTGAGGAATCATTCATAGACAGCTGATAACCACACAGCTGCTTCCCCTGCACCTCCCAGCACCCTCAAACACTCCCCTCCTTAAAATAAACCAGCTCCACCAGCCCATGGAACATCCCCTATTCACCAGGACGGTGCCTGTGCACGGTCTCATCCTCACCTGAGGCTGTTCCTCAGGAACCAGTCATAGCAGCGGAGGATACATGGTCCCCTGGTGAGCCCAAGCAGCCTGCAGTGTCCCCTACACATCCCCAGCCACTGCTGGCAGTCTCTCCAAGCAGCTGCTGCTTGCCCCGAGGCTTGCACCAGGTCCCTCCACTGCAGCAGAGCAACACAAACCAACTTAAAAGAAGCCAAACTGGGCAAGTAAACCTACATCCTCAAAAAACAGAACTATCCCCAACAACCAGCCAGAGACTGGGCAGCTGTCACGATCGAGGCCAGCAGCCCCATCCTCCAGTGCCAGCTCTCAAAACAAACCCAAACAAACTCAAAGCAAAGCTGGAACAGGACAAGGTGCCCAGCCGGGCTCGCATGCTGCTCCTGCAGCCAGTGGCACCAAGGACAGTGGCTCAGATTCAACTCGTGGTTCGGGTAGAACAGTTGCCTACATCAGCTGGCATCCTGCAGCAGAGAGGAAAAGCATCACAGCTTCACTCCCAGGAGATGCTCCAAGACTTTGGGAAAGGGGCTGGCACTGACACTGTGCGAGGACTCACCTAGCACCCGAAGAACCTGCAGCGCCAATGCAACCTTCGCCTCCTCGTGCCCACTCCTGCCTGGCCTGTCCTGCCGGACCCATGTGAACCCACTGAAGGGCACAGGGAACCCTGGGATCACCATGCAGCACCAGAACCGCAGCCACCCGTTGGGGTTTTCCTGAACACACTTGGTGAGGAACAGGGGTGTCCCCAGGTACTGCTTCTGGCACAGGGTGTTCAGGCGGTCCAGTGCATTGCGCAGCACTGGAGACAGGGGCACCTGCTTGGGGCCCTCCGGCCTCTTGCCTCCTTGCACCCGTCTGGATGATGGCTTCTCCTTGCACAACTGCAGTTTCTGCTTCAGATCAGGGTTCAGCCAGGCCACCCTCATCTCCACGCCGCTGAGACTCAAGTTCTCTGGGAGAGACCAGTAGCAGCTGTCAGAGATGCTCACACACCAGCCCTCCTGTATCATCCCATCCCACTTAATCCTGTCCCCCAGCATCTGGCGCAGTGACCCCCACAGGTTTTTCGGCACCAACGCCCAGTGTACAAACTGCAAAGGATCCTTTCCCCTGCCTCCACACAGAGCAGCTGCTTCTCCATCTCCTTTCACTACCAAGGTGGTCTCGGGGGATTTTAGGAGCAGGCTGCCTTTAGGGACAGCTGCAAAGATGTCAAAGCCAAAGGTTTCACAGTTGGGGCAGAAACAAGCACAAATCAAGACTTTGGAGGTTCCAGCTGGATGTCTGGGAAACATGACCCATCAGAGGGCTGTGCAACCATGGGGCAGAGCACTGAGAAGTAGGGAATCTCCATCAGGAGGGTTTAATAACTCAAAGCTCTGGATGCACCAGGACTGGTACTGGGGATGCTTCTGCTGTGAGCAGGCAGCTGCCTGAAGTGCTCCAGCAGCCCCTTTATCCCACCCCCACTAGGTCTGCTGGGGATCAACCCCACTGAGGACAGCCAGACTCCCACAGGGAGAGAACAAGGGCTGTCTCCAGGCTGAAGTCACCTTGCAGCCGAGTCTGGAGGTGGGATATGCCCTTCCTCAGACACACCAGAAATCCCAGCCCAAGCAGCATCCCACAGCACCCAGGCCTCCCACCTACCTTCCATCAGGGTTTTCTTGGCCATGGCAGCAGCCTGGTGCGAGCTGTATTTCAGCACAGCAAGCTGGGCCCGTTTCCGGCAGGGGCTGGCACACAGGGTGACGCTCTGCAGCCCCACCGTGACCCGCCGCAGAAAGGCCTCCAGCTCCCCCTGGCTCACCGAGCTGGCCAGGCCGTCTACACTCAGCTCACACTTCTCGGTGCTCTTGCACACCACGATGGCGCAGCCCTCCCGCACCTCGAATTTGTTGAGGGCAGCGATGGCCTCCTTGGCTCCGCGCCGGCTGCTGTACTTAGCGTAGGCAAAGCCCCGGTTAAGGCCACTGAAAGTCATCATGAGGCGGAACTCGTAGAGCCTCCCCACGCTCTGGAAGAGCGGGATCAACACGTTCTCGTACATGTCCTGCGGCAGCTTCCCGATGAACACCTCTGTGCCGGCCGGCGGGGGGTCGCCCACCCAGCCTGCAGGCACACAGCGACACGGTGAGACGCCAGCCCTCCGGGATCACCCCATCCCACCCTATCCTGCCCCCAGCAGCTGGCACATGCTGAGCGAGGCCCACCCAGCCCCCGCCGTGCTGCACTCCCAGGGCACCCCGGCGTTGAGATGTGCTTCTCACCTACCTGGTGGGGGGGCACCGTATCGCCTTTGCCCATTGATCTGCACCAGGTCAGTGCGGGTTTCTTTTGCCCAGGCAAGCAGGGCCATCTTATTGGTCTGGTTGATACTGTTGGTCCACGTCTGAGGAGGGAGATGACACTAGTGCTCATCTGGGCAAAGAGTTTACAACCTCCCAGCTGGAGGTATCCCAACTCCACAAAGCAACCACAAAGCCTAGCACCAGCCAGCAGGCAGGGGAAAAAAATGCTGAACCCCTCTGCCCTCAGGAAACTGAGGAGCCTCTGAACACAGAATCATCTGGGTTGGAAAAGCCCCTGAAGCTCCTCCAGTCCAACCATGAACCTCACACTGACCATTCCCAACTCCACCAGATCCCTCAGCGCTTGGTCAAGTCCTCCAGGGATGGGGACTCCTCCCCTGCCCTGGGCAGCCCATTTCAACGCCCAACAGCCCCTTCTGCAAATAAATCCTTCCTCAGAGCCAGTCTAAACCTTCCCTGGAGCAGCTTGAGGCCATTCCCTCTGGGCCTGGTGCTGGGTCCTTGGCTCAAGAGACTCATCCCCCTTCTCTGCACCCTCCTTTCAGGGAGTTGTAGAGGGCCAGGAGGTCTCCCCTCAGCCTCCTCCAGACTAAACAACTCCACCGGCACACCCAAAGCCCTGCTCTGCCCACTGTCCATGCCTGCTCCACATGACTAATTCCAGCAACTCTGGCAGAGCACAAGGACACCAACAGCTCCCCTGTGGGTGCCTGCAAGGGCTCTGAAAGACACTGGTGCTGCAAGAGGGGGCTGGAGCACAGAGAGCCACCACCTTGGGGTGGCTGGTCACGTCACAAGATCCCAGGCAGACTGGGACCCCAAACCACCCAACTCTCTTCTACCAGTGTCTCCTCAGGCTTCTGAGGACATCAAAGAGGACCTGAAGACACCATCCGTGTGGCATTATTATCAGATTTTTACTCATTAAGTATTGTGAAGTCTCATTAGGGCCTCTGAAACCGTACACTGAGTGGGACTAAGCCCCACTCAGGCTAAAGGCAGTTTGGCTGCAGCTCCACTTCGTCCAGCTCCAGGTGCATCACCAGGTGGTGGCACCTTTCCATCTCCAAGAGGTTTTATCTTTCCTGAAGACCAGAAAACACCTTTGGATGATGGTGGGGACCCATAAAGAGGAAGTGTCTGCTGGGAGGGTGCAGAAAGACCAGGCACGCACACCACAAAGCCTCCTGCCACGGCTCTGCAGCTCCCACGGCTGGGGGTGCTGCAGCTCCCGGTACTGGGGGGTGCGGGGAGGTGCCGGGGCTCTTGGGAGAGGCAGGACCCCGCTCTTCCCCAGGAGAGCACAGCTAAGCCGCCGCCGGTTCAGTGCTACCGGGGCTCATCCACATCCCCGCGGTCTCCACGAGGCACCGGGGCCACCAGCGCCAGCTCACGGCGGGGAGAAGGGGCGGGATGGGGGCGGCTCCGGGCCGGGATGGGGCCCA